ACACAACACAATGCCTTTATTTTTATGTGGTGCTGAGGATAGAACCCGGGTCCTGCCCATGCTAGGCAAGCGCTCTACTGCTGAGCCACAATCCCAGCCCCACAGGGATTCTTTAATGCCTGATATCATGTCCAAGCTACCCTTGCTTGTAACCAACTACCTTCAGAATAAAATCCCAAGTCCTCCATAGGCTACAAAGCCCTCTGTAGTCTGGCCCCTGCCCTCTGTTATACCCACTTTCCTTACCATTCTCTTATCTTGTCTGCTCTGCCTTCATGATGCTAGCCATTCCTCCAGTTGATTGACACTTCTGTTCCTTCATTGTTCTCTCTGGTTCCACTGGTCTCCTCTTCAGGAGACACCAAACTGTGACAGCCCCCCCATCTTTCCAGTGGGTCTTTCCTGTGCCTACTCCTGCCTTGTCTTCACAGAAGCTGCTACTACCTACCTACCATCATATCTCCATCTCTACATCAATGCCTGGGCCTCAGTCTCTTTGTGCATTGCCTTCTTCTCACTGAACAATGAGCTCTGAGGAGGCAAAAGCACTAAGCATCTATACATGTCCAGCATCCAGAATAATGCCAGGCTTGTAATGGTGCCCAGTAAGTACTAGATAAAGGAAAGACTGACAGAAGAGGAGTAAGGTCGATAATAAGGACTTCATTATTCTCCCGACCCCAAGAGTGTGTGGTTCTGTGAAGAGCCTGGAAGTCCGCCATCCAACCATTACCTATAATCAGGAAACTCAGTTGCTACTTCTTTTCTGAGACTGGATTGATTTTCACTCCTTGAGCCTCCTCCATGTGAGCAGTTGACTGCAGAACAAGGTGGCCGAGATATTCTTGTGTTGAGTGTTGGGACTGTTGAAGCTGTAAAAATGCGTTCTTCCTTTTTCCTTTTCTTAGACTACATGTCCTTCACTCAATGACAGCTTCCTAGTGCCCAAAATAGGGGACCTACCATATTTGCCCTTTCACAGCATTCAACACACACCCATGGACATGTCATGGGCTGCCTTCCTCGTCAACCTGAAGGCTTCAAGATTGCCTCTCTTCTGTGTTCATCATCGTACCCAGGACGTCATCATTATATCCACCACATCGTTAGTGCCCAAATAATGCTTGTTGAACAAAATACTGAATTTTTTTTGATAATTAATGAAAATTAACATTATATGTTTAAAAACAAAGGATGTAATTTATTGATCTACTAATTGTTATTTCCCTGCATTAAAAGCAGAACCACGCATATTTGGACACTTTTTCATTTTGTAGTCAGCAGGAGGGGCGAGATAGAAAACTGGTGGGACATTTTGCTCCTGGAAATGATTTAATTATTGCAGGGATTTTCCAGAACCATCAACTTGAAAGAAACCATCCAAGGAAATGAATCAGATTTTCTTATAAGATCCAAGGTGTTCTAGATGTTGTTTTGTCAGGAAATGCTGAACATTTTAACCTTCATCTCTCTTCCTGAAGTCTAAGCCTTTTATTTTTTCCATCAAGGAAGATCAAGCACAACTAAAGAAATAGTGGGAAGAATTATGGAAACCTTTCATGCTTTAAAAATTCTTGAATTTCTTAATTTCCCTTTCTTACCAAGTGGAAATAAAAACAATGAGATCTATAGTATCAGGATTTGGATGAAACAATTTGAACAGCTACATGTATCATGTATAAAACACTAAGTATGATTGTATTACACAGTCAGAAAACACCCAGACTTTTATAATGGATAGTTTTGTAATTCATATATTCAAGCCTGATGTAGTTAATCACTGTTCTGCTAGTATCACGTGTCCATACTTCAAGCAATCAGATATATTTATAGGAAGGCTGAGACGAGAGGGTTCATCAAACAAGGAAGAGTTGAGCTGAGTGCATTGGAATAAAGCCCTGATATCACTTAGTAACATTAGTACTCTAATCATGGGCCAGTGTCCTCTCCAGACTGCAGCTGCCCAGGGTCTGAGCAGAGCCCCAGAAGCTCTTGCTGTAGAATGTCATGATTTTGGAAACCACAGAGTGGTCTACCTTTTGGTGTTAGGAGGGATTTAGATCTTCTGAATTTCAGGTAGTGTATCACGCAGTATTTATAAGTTTACAGCATGCCAGATCTCTGTTATTTGGACTCCAATTATCCACGTAACTGATAGCCAAGTCCCACTCACTGTTTTTCAGGTGAGACTTCAGTACAGGGTCTAACAGTGGGTGGAACACAGAAGCCATTCCCGTCCTGGAGCTGGGACTCTGGCTCTCCCTTCCTTGGCAGGCCTCTGCTCGCTGCTTTTGATTATGGCCACTACCCAGAAACTGTGAAAGCAAGGGAAATCTAAAGCCATCTGTTTGACTTCTTAAGAACGTGTAAATTCCAGTCACAAGGCCAATTGCTGCTGTAACAAATTATCACAAACTTAGAGGCTTAAAGTGACACAAATTTATTATCTTACAGTAGTGAAGTCACGCGTCTAAAATGGGTCCCCTGGGGCTCAAAGCAAGGTGTTGGTAGTGCTGCATACCCAGAGTGGGCAGGAGAGAGGCCGTTTCCTTGTCTTTTCCAACCTCTAGCGGCTGCCTGAGCTCCTTGGCTCTTGGCCAGTTCCCTCTGACTTCTGCTTGCTTTGCCACACCTTTTCTCCTTCTCCCTCTACCATCCCCCTCTTCTGCTTAGAGGAGTCCTGTAGGTAGACTGGGTGGACCCTGCCCTGGATCATGCCGAGTATCTCCCATCTCAGGGTCCTTACCTTAATCAAAGGTGCAAAGCCCCTTTTATTGTGGAGAATGCCAAATCCATAGACATTAGACTCTGAACATCCCAAGGTCCCTCATTTCACCCATCCCAGAAGGCAGTGGAAGCCCTGGAGTCTGCTTTTGTCCTCTCCCTGATTTCTTATGACTACCCTAATCCCCTCGGTAGCCAGCCTGAGGTACAGCTAGCTGCCTTGGGTCCTTGTGTCAGACACAGATTCTGTTGAAACCTCAGACACCCCTGCCAACATGCCCACTTCTGAGCTCACTTCCTTGCAGGAACTACTCCAGGGCTACATCTGTAATGGTATAGTTCTGCCACTGCTTCCTGTTATGGTTTAGATATGAGATGACCCCAAGAGCTCCTTCTGTTAGTGCAGGAATATTCAGAGGTGAAATTATTAGATTGGAAGAGCCGTAACCTAATCAGTCCATCCTAGTTTGAGTGGGTTGACCGGGTGGTAACCATAGGCAGGTGGGCCATGGCTGGAAGAGGAAGGTCACTGGGGTCTGCCCTGGAAGGATACCTCTTCCCCGTGGCCCCTTCACCCTCTCTCTCTCTCTTTGATTCTTGACCTTGCAGTGAGCTGAGCAGCTTTCCTCCACTGGCTCTTCCCCTATGATGTTCTATCTTACCTCGGGCCCACAGCAATGGAGTCAGCCATCTATGACCTGAGACCTCTGACGCTATGAGCCTCAAATAAACTTTCCCTCTTCTAAGTTGTTCTTGTCAGGTATTTTAGTCACAGTGACACAAAACCTGACTTAAACAGTTCCCATCCAATATTCCTGACTAACATTCCTACACCACCTCCTCACTTCTGGGAACATGTTGGAAGTGAAAGGTGCTGCCCTGTGAGTGGGAAGGTTCCTGTGATTAGTTCCGGCCAGAGATGACTCTGGGCTGAGTGTGTCATCAATGGGATCTTCTAGTGCCTTTGTTTCTCCCTCTAGTTCTCTAAACAGCCCGGTTAGAGGCGGGTGGTCTTGCAGTCAACATGCTGGACAAGCTGAGAGTCACTTTGTTGTACTCACTGATGTTTGGGGGTTGTTTGTTATTGTACCATGTAAGCTAACTTATCCTGACTGGTACATTTTACAAGGGCTAAAGGGAAGGGAGCAAAAAGAGCAGGCTGCACAGACTGTGCCCCATGGGTTCTCTCACTCACAGGCCACAGGGGCTTTCCTGTTCCTTTGATGAAAATGTCCATTAACTTCACCATCCGGTGGGTGGTCTTTTTTTTTCACCGTGGTAGAACATTTAGTTTCTGGAGTATGTAATAATATACCTGCAGACTTACCATGGATCACATGTAGTTGACTCTGACTCTCCTTCAGTCATGGAAATGAGAAAAGATCTGCAGTTGTAATGCCTAAGGATGTCAGGAGAGACTAGAGGGTGGTGCCATGGGCAGTTAACAACCATCATTCCCTTTATTTCTTATAGTTAACCTTCAAGGTGGAAGTGCTTATTTCAGGGCAAGCCCAGCTGGGGAGAACTTGAGGATTTAATAGAAATCATGGTACAGGGGAAGCAGGTAGACCTCTGCGGGCAAGGCAGCATCCAAGGAGGCCATGCTGGCCACCTAGGCCCAGGGTGTGAATACTGAGGGCTCCAACCCAGGCTTGCTATCTTGCTTTGTTGAGCTTCTCCAGCTCCTCCTGCCCTTGGCCCTGCTGGAACCCTCACCTGGGGCCAGTGGTTGGGATTAAGGCAAAGCCCCAGCAGCTGGAGATGGACTCCAGCCCTGTGCCAGAGGAGCAGCCAGAGTGGGAGCCCTGAAGATTCAAAACCGACTCTAAATGCATGCTTCACAGAGACAAGATTGTGTCTTGGGCTCAGTGTTGCTGGGCTTCTACAGAACCAGTTAGAGCATCCAGTTCTGTATCTGGGCTGTTGGTGCCTTGGGCTCCTGTGGCCCCCTGAGAACCTGTCCCTCAATGAAGAGCTTTGTTTCTATGGAAACCTGCATCGGTGACCCAAATATCCAGGTTAAACATTTTCTATTTTATCTGACTCAGCGTTTAGGTTAGTTGGAATGTATTAGATACAAATTGGGGTTTTCGTACACATATGGATTTTCTTCATCCCAATTGCCCATTCTTGTCAACAAGGACTACGGAGGGCCCTCTGTTCTGCAGTGTATGTATGGTTGGAAACTTCTACTATGTGGGTATCAACTAGGACCAAGACGGAATTCTTCTCCAGCGAATTGCTCATCTGTTGTTCTCTATTTCTTAACCCTTCAGGGCGAGCTCTGCTGAGACTCACGGACAAAAAGCTTGAGCGTATGGGGATAGCCCAGGAGAACCTCCGGCAGCACATCTTGCAACAGGTGCTCCAGCTGAAGGTGCGAGAAGAAGTCCGAAACCTGCAGTTACTCACACAAGGTACATCACTGCTTCCTATTGGATGGCTGGAAGGGGAGATGGAAGTCAGAAAGCCTTTTCATAGTAACAGAGGGGAGCCAGGGAGAATTTGTTATTGTTTCTTTGCAGAATTTCCTTCATTTAAAATTAAAAGAAAAAAAAAAACTACATAGATTTAAAGACCCAATTCCCTCCCTCAAAACTTTTATTTTTCATAGCTCTCTAGAGGAAAAGATGCATGAATAAGTAATGGATAAGCAAACAGAACTATTAGAACTAACCTCAAGTTCTTCACATATAGCTATTATAGATTGCATACTGCACAACTCCAGATACCAGTCACATAGATCAGGGTTCAGTTGTGTCCTCAACAGTTGTACAGTGTGCACTCTGCACAAGTGTACCATGGAGCCCTAGATATCTTCATCTGACTGGTAATTCTGAGAAGCCTTTGGAATTTGAGTGATTTCATACTTAATGTGAATAGCAGTACAGGTGGGGGGTTTATTGTGTTTTGTTTTACTTTATTTTTTATTGGCCAGTCAGAGAAAAAATATTTTAATTGAATGTCCCTATGTAAATGAATTTATACACACACATACTCTAGAGATCATGAGACCTTACTTTAGTGTCTTGAAAATAGAATAATTTAAAAATATAAGCTGTAAAGAATTTATGACTAGACTATTAAGACCATATAATTCTTAATAGGAATCATTAATAACTTCAACATGTTTTAGAGTACTTAAAAGCCCTATAACTATAGAAGTGACAGAGGAAAAAAGCTAAAGTTAGAAGAAAACCTTAAGTCACACTATGTGTAAATATGTATCTACCTAAGATGTGGTTGCTATCATCCTACATTGACTCTAACCTTTTTTTCTTTTAATGCTCAATTGTGCATCATTTTAAATGAAAGGATTGATAAAATATGTGTTTTTGAGAGCCTTGAGTATTCTTCAATCTGCAGAATGTTGTAATTGCTTGCACACTTCTATTGGAGAAATCTGGGTCAGCCAAGTTTCTTGTTATTGCATTTAGATTAACCCAGTAATAGTCCATTTGCCTGGAGGAAATAATGTACTGCCTGAAAGACGACTGCTCCAAAAGGATAAATATAGACTGCGAGTGATATGGAAATAGCATTGTTTATTTGTTTATGCGTTTTTTTGAATCTTGTCCCAAGAGGCTTCCAGTGGTGAAGTTATAGGTACTGACTGGTCCGCTGAGTGAATGAATTTTGAATGTGACATACTGATATACTTTTAAGTTTCTCTTAGGAAATAAATAAAGATTTATGACAAGAAAGTCCATCACAGTGCTATTTATAAGATGGAAAAAAAAATTAGAAACAACCTAGAGTTTCAGCAGTATGGAAATAATCTAATGATTTTGCTTAAATTTATAGGAGACATATAATGGCATCATTAAAATTACATCCTGGAAGAACACACGACATGGGAAACTACTTATGAAATGAGGGGGCTGTGTATAAAATTTATTTATAATATGATAATATGAGCCCAATTTTGCAGATAAAAATATATATGTATAGAAGTGAGTGTATATATATATATATATTTTTTTTCTTATATGTACATAAAGAAAAGAATGCAAGTCAGTGTGCCAATATTTTAATCATGGTTCTCACTGGGTGGTAGGATTGCGCGTGATTTTTAATTGTTCTTTTTATGTTCTTCTGTTTTCAAAATCTCCCACTGCAAATCCACATGATGGTTATAAGAGGAAGCACACACTTTTTCTTAAGCTTTCGGCACAGCATATTTCTGTCCAGGTTCTAGTTAGTATCTGAGCTTCTGGGCTCTTTTGTTCCCCATGAATGAGACCCACACTCACTGCTCATCCACTGTGGCCTTGACACCTGTCCTTCACTCCTGTCCATCTGCACTGCACTCGCTTTGCAAAATCCATTTCCACAGTCTTCATCACCCTGGATGTGTACCATAAGATTTTCCCCAAGCCGATACTCAAGCTCGATATATGTTCTTGTCCTGCCTTTTCAATTCAATTGGCACTTTCTTTCCCTTTGAAAAGCTCCACACTGGTGTTCTTACCTCCCATTCCCCTTAGAAGAGACCCTTGGTCGGTGGTTCTGGATATTCTGTCTGCACTCATCTTACCTTTCTTATTGATTCCCCTTTACCTGTAAATACTCAAACTCATTTAAGGTAGGCGTCCAATAGAAAATCCATTGCCTTATTAACGTGATAGTTTCTTTACAAGAGGAAAAAGGGAAAGAAAATTGACAAGTTGTTATTAAAACTGCTAATAGAAGTTCTTAAGACAGCTGGGAACCCTTAAAATATTCAGTGTCTCGTTTTGCTAAAATAAGAATTGGAATTCCATTCCATTCAAGGAATCTGATTGGTTTAACATAGGTATCATATGGAGAGTCACCATACGTGTGATCTGTGATTCAGTAGGAATGTCTTATTCTTCATTTCCACAAATATTAATCTGCAGAAACAATATGCTAAATAGGTACAGAGATTTCAGAACAACTGAATGCTGTTTAGTTTTTGGAAATCCCTGGGCCTCTCCTGTTTATAGAAATGGAATACATTTTCATGGCTCACATGGGGCTATAACTCTGGCATAATGCAATTAATTTTTGTTGGTATTGATTATCTGAATCATTCAGGCTGCTGAAATAAAATGCCACAAACTGAATAGGTTGTAAACAAGAAGAACTTATTTTTGACATTTTTGGAGGCTGGGAAGTCCTGAATCCGGGTCCTGGTAGATTCAGTGTCTGGGGAGGGCCTGCTTGAACACAGACCTCCCTTTCACTGTATCCTGGAGTGGTAGAAGCAGAGAATATCTCTTTTGGAGCTGCCTTAAGAAGGGCACTAATTCCATTCATGAAGGCCCTACCCTCAGGTCCTAAAAGGCCCCATGACGACCTTGGGAATTAGGACTTCAACCTGTGACTTTGGGAGGCACATAACATCAGTCCATTACATTGGAATTTAACAGTTGTTTTTGTTGTTGTTGTTTGTTTGTTTTTTTTAACCAACCAACGTGTTTGATAAAAGTAGTTCACTTTTGAGGAAAGGGTTTTATTTTTAAAATGACTGAATTTCTTATGAGTTCCCTTCTGCCTTTGAAGGTAGTTTCAAAACACAGGATCTTGGAAAGAAACTTAAGTAGCCATCAAAGGAGAACAGTTAATTAAATTATGGTGCCTCATTTAGGCACTGGAATCCTCTAAAGCCGTAAACACAAGAATGAAGCATACCAGTATGGAAGGACTTCTGAGATGTCCTGAGAAATGAAGAAGGCAGTGTTCAGAACAACATGTATAGCGTACTACCTCTGCCAAAGAGGAAGAAATGATAATGCAGAAATATCTGTATGGGCTCTGTTTGTGTAAGGAAATTCAGAACTATCCCCTAGAAGTTAATAAAAACTGCACTATTCAAAAGAATAAAAGTTTTTTAAAATTAAAAAAAGAAGAAGATGTGAATATTAACACCAGATAGGCCTGAATTTTCAATCCTGGCCCAATACTCACTGCTGTGTTACTTCAGGGAAACTACTTAATCACCCTGTGTTCCAGTTTCCTGATTTCTGAAATGGAGATCAATAAGTCTGCCCAACCAATAGGAGATAGTAAGAATCAAAGAAGCAAAATATATAAATCATTCAGAGTAGGGTGACAGTAAAGAAGATACTTAGCTAACAGTAGAAATCAGATAATTAAATCAAACTCACAAATTCCAGCAACTCTTATTTTTAGCATCTTTATTGAGATATATTCCTAGAGCATATAATTTACCCAGGTAAAGTGTACAATTCAGTGATTTTTAGTATATTCACAGAGATAACTATTGTTGTCATAAATTTTAAAGCATTTTCATCAGCCTGTGAAGAAATCTCATACCATCAACAGTCATTCCTGGTTTTCTTCCAGCATCCCTAGCCACCAGCTCCTGGAAAGAACTAATGTTCTTCTGTTCTCCTGTTCTGAACATTTCCTGTGAATTAAGTCATCTAGCATAAGGTCTCTTATGATTAGCTTTCACCCGAGGTAATTCTTAAGGTTCACCCATGATGTAAGCATATGTCAGTATTTAACTTCTTTCTATTTCATTGTATGACTATACCATATTTTATTTATCCATCTGCTGATAGGCATTTAGATTATTTCTGAATTTTGACTATGATCACTAATTCTGCTTCATGTGCTGGTTTTGGAGTAAACACCTGTTTTCGTTTCTCTTGGGCCTATCCTAGGAATGGAACTTCTGGCTTATATGGCAACTCCAAACATAACAAAAGCCAGAAGAGCTTCACCACTTCACATTTCTACCTGTATGTCTGAGTGTACCAGATTCCCAGCTACTCACCAGAGCTCGTTATTATCTTAAATCCATGCTCCTATGTGTGAAGTAATGTCTCATTGTGGTTCTGATTTGCATTTTTCTGATGGCTTCTCGTGTGTCTATCGGTCATTTTTATATTTTCTTCAGGAAAAAAAGATCACAAATCCTTTGCTCATTTTTAGAGGGATTATTTGTGTTTTTTTAAGTTTTGTCTTTGTTTCCTCATGCAATAGTACCCATCTTATTTCCAAAATATGGAGCTAATTATTCTTATTATTCTTTCCAAAGAGTAATTCCATACACAAAGGATGAAATCTCACCCCCACTAGAGATATTTAAAAGAGCCTGCCACAAATGTGAAAATCAATTCCAAAATAAAACAACTGAATGCACTCCACAGATTTTCTCTCAACACTTTTAGCTGTAGAAACTAAACACACACACACACACACACACACACACACACACACACACACAGAGAGAGAGTTGCATCTGTTTGTATGCAACGTCTGAATTAAATACTTGCATATGAAAGCTCATTCTGCATGTTTCTAGGAAAAATAAAATAATAATTAAGCCTACCTCTCCCATGTTTGGTTGCTGGTATTAAAGTCTTCTTGAGCTTCTGATTCTGCACCAGTGTTTTCACACAGTTGGCTAGGAGCCCCAGGACTG